CAAGACAAAGACAGCAACCAAGAAGAAGCCAAAGAAGCCAGGACCAGGAGACACCAGCTGAGGGACATCCACCCAATTACTTGTCGGGTGTATGCATGTATTTGACCCCCAATTCACAATAAATTCAAACATGTTTGTAAAAAGACTGAAGCTGATTGATGTAGAATCATTTTACTCTGGAAAAACAGGTTAAATCCATCATGAATTTTGATTAACTTCCTGTGGCTGAGTTTTATGAAACAGAAAACATCTGAACTGTTCCTTTAAATAGTGTCAGTGTTTGCATAGCTCTGCATGGTGTTTGATATAAGTGAGAAGATATGAAGCATGCTGCTTTATAGCACCACAGCAGCCATCATCAAAGACACAAACTCTTTATTTTGTCATCAAATTAAAGAAAATGTTGCTTAGGTGCCACTGAGCAAGGCACTTAGCCCTGATTTCTGCAGGGAATCTGCTCAAAGGGCAACGGGAGGTTGGAACAGAAAAGAGATATGTGATCTCAAAAGTTTTATTTTTTAACAAATGAGTTTGGAAGCCATTAAAAACTAAATGATGTTTTTCTACAACAGAACATTAAAAACTCAGTTTGATTCTTGAACTAATATTCCTGGAGCTGCTCTGAAGACCGAGTGTCAGACCTCTGACCAGTTTCCTGTCTGAACTTATGGATCAGATGAAAGGTTCTTCAAGAGAAAAACTGCTGCTACACAGGACACGCCCACATCCAGACCAACACGGGACACGCCCACATCTAGACCAACACGGGACACGCCCACATCCAGACCAACACGGGACGCGCCCACATCCAGACCAACACGGGACACGCCCCCACATCCAGACCAACACAGGACACGCCCACATCCAAACTTAACAGGGGACACGCCCACATCCAAACTTAACAGGGGACACGCCCACATCCAGACTTAACAGGGGACACGCCCACATCCAGACCAACACGGGACACGCCCCCACATCCAGACCAACACAGGACACGCCCACATCCAAACTTAACAGGGGACACGCCCACATCCAAACTTAACAGGGGACACGCCCACATCCAGACTTAACAGGGGACACGCCCACATCCAGACTTAACAGGGGACACGCCCACATCCAGACCA